TTAATTTAATAAAAAAAATAGCTTGAATTTGCAAAACGCTCACGTGCCTTCTTGCGTGAAACCGTGTGTAGCGGTGTAGGAATATCCACTGTCCAATATAATCCCGTGGGTGTGGCGATACGCGACAAAGGGAAACAAATCTAGAGTCGGGCAGCAGTGTTTTCTAAATAACGACAAAAACAACTTGGTGCCACCTCGGGACTAAAATAAAATACCTTACAATCTGTAAATGTATTGGCCCTCTTATCTCTACACAACAAATTGGAACGTAAAATGAGTATTTCAATTTATAATTATTTTTACGTGGTAGAGCCACGCTGCAGCTACATATTATGGTTCTAGCTAGAATGGGTCGGCTCGACCGGGGAAGGACCACGCCCTCACAGAATACCAGCGTAAAATAGCAGCTTGATGCTGCTGTGTTTCGTATGGTGAGTGTAGAGATCTGGAGACACTTTTTTTACTGGAAACGAGGCATTCCATCTTAGTCCTCAGGGGTGACAACGCATCTGTGTTTTGACTCTTAATCGAGGATAGATGTAGATGTCTATGGGATACAGCATCCACTTACTATCAGGTGAACTGTATGCTCGTTTGTCGCCCTTATTCTATAAAAAAAATTGTCAGATTCCACTATATTTTACAAGGCCTCGAAAATACTATAAAAGTTAAAGTTATAGCCTGTAAACGTCCCACTGTGTGGGCTGGGCCACTGCCTGGGCACTGTTCGCCACGCTGCCCTAATGCAAAACGCGATCTACATAATTATGTCTCCGAAATATTTTTGGCATATTTATCTGTTATGCAGGTTTTGTCACGGTATTTTATTTCACCGCCGAGCACGTGGTAAATCAGCACTTAAAATTGCAATTAGCAATTTCGTTGGTGCCGGTGGGAATTGAACCCGGGTTGTTCGTGTACTGTGAAATTTACAGCGAGCGCTTAGCCCTTGAGCTACTACGGCTGAAAATATATTATACTTCATATGAAAAAGTTGGCAACCCTAGTAGTCGCACCCGTGAGAAAATGAACAAACGGAAAACTATATTCGTTAGCTATCACCCCAAAAAAGGTGACCGGTGCGGCCGGCCCCCGCCGCCCGCCTTTGCTACGCCACTGTCCGCGTGCTCCCATGTACTCATATAGAGGGACCTTAAGGGGAAATATAACCTCAAATGGCTTAGCAAGATCCTCCGTTATGCCGAAAGTATTGCAGCATTAATTTTGAAATAAATATATGGTAAAGTTGAGGATTAATGTTAAGGTTTATGTTAGACGAAAACACGATTCCGTAAAATTTTCTCGATAGAAAAAAAATCCAAAGTTACCTCCAAACTGAACAATAAACCGCTGTTATTCATAAAATACTTTAAATAAGATCATGAAACTTTGCATACTAACTGAACTAAACCATAAAGCAGTGCTTATGTTATTTACTTTTTTTAAAATATCATTATTTTCACTGTAAAAAAGAAATTACCTAAACTATCGGCGCGTAAGCTTGGTTCCTGTCGCTACGTTAGTATTGCTCCGGCTTTTGAAGGGAGAAGTTGTGTCGCTTACGATCAGAAAACACATTACGCAACAGGAAGACGTAAAATTAAAATGGGAAATAGCTGTTATAAAAATAAGAAGCGAGTGGGTTGGCGTTAAGAAACAGGCATATATATGATAAACCTAATGAAATAAGTGTCTAACGACCTTTCTACTTACAGTATTAGTGATTACAAACATGTCGGTACATAGCATACGACGCGCGGGGGAAGTGGGGGCGAAATTAGAATTTGAGCTGACTTACTCTCACTTCTTAAGTTGAGAGCTCCGATTCTGGCTCTGCATTGCTTATATCTAAAGCAACCATATAGTTGTAATCTAAGAATATTCCGCTACCCCATATCGTCCCGTGGGTGTCGTAAGAGGTGACAGAGGGAAATTGAAAAAATAGATGATTAGCAGCATCTTACTGACAAGCGTGGTATATTTATAGGGGGGATCCTTATAAGGCATTCTATGGGGGAGGCCTGTGTTTAAAACCGTGGGGTCCAATTGTGAATCTAAACCATCCAGGGACCCTCTCAAACACACGCAAAAAATCTTATCAAAAATTGGTCCAGCCATTTTCGAGTTTTTGACTGACAGCAATTGGTTTTTATACAATATGTAATGTAATTAACGCACACCCTCAGACACCCCAATTAGTATATTATGTTATAATCATAATTCATACACTGAATTTTTAGTTAAACATTTTTATGCACTGATTATTTATCAAATTAGTTATACTAATTCCGGAAGAATGTTGTGGTCACAGTACAAATCCACGAACGCAAAGACTTTATACCTGCTTGAAATAAAGTTCATTTTTCTTTATTTTTATTGAATAACAGAATTAGTAATAATACAAATAAAACTGCACTCTTAAAAGTCTTATTGCCTTAAGTTACGGTCCATTTCAGTTTGTTTTGACTGTACAGATTTAGTGTGACTGTAATTTACGTAGATTTAATTATTTTTGGGATAAAAAATTACCTATATAAAAAATCATAGGAATCGATTCATTAAACGATTCTGAACAAACTACTTTCTCAAAGTGCGTTAATTATGTTACATGTTGTATATAGAGATTATACATTTATTTTGACGGATTTGCAAGCTAAATCGCTCGTGTAAAGCGTATCATTGAACGATTAGAAATCAATAGTTCTTTTTAGAAATCTATGTCGCAGTGTCGGCCTTGATAACTTCACCGGAAACCTTCTAGATATGGAGTACGCCAGTTAGGTGACGGCGACATTAAAACGAGGGCTCTTGACGTTAAAAACTCGTTGAAGGACGTGTTGGAAGCACAGGCTTAGGCATTTGCCTCCTTTATGATTGTTCATTAAAATGAATTTGGAATGTCTTACTTGTTTTTTGTCTGCCATACTGGGAGACAAAGGACACTTATGTAGTCTGAGAGTGGTGATTATTTTATAATGTAAGCTTTCAGTCGCTTACACTGTTAGAGGAATTTGCGAAATAGAAACATTTAGTTTTTATTTCTAACTTGTTTTTTTCAGTCTGTGTTAAAGGGAAAATGTTTTGTGAAGTACTTTCTTGAAAGATTCGTATAAGGATAAATTTTATGTGTACGACGTTTACAAAATTGAATACGAAATAAATGAAATGAATTATGTTGAATTTAAATACGTTTTATAAATTGCCTTGTGGACAAAATATAGAAATTATCGCTGCCAGCACTATCTTTAAATGAACTAAAAAAAGAGTTTTTTAATTGAACTTCTTTGAAACAATTACTGTTTTTCGTTTATGTACCTATTATAAACAAGTATTTTACTAATATTTCATATTAAGATGTTAGGTGGTGGTGGCCGTAGAGGTTTAGTGCCACCTTTATACACTGGCTTAGTTCCTTTAACCTAAGACTATTCGCTTGTTTTGAAGACTCTATAGACTGAGTCCAGTGACCATGGGTGTTGTAAAGCACCCGAAACGTCGGGAATTAAAAAGTTAAGTTAAACGCGATAAAATCCGTAAAAATTTGTTTTTCCTATAGACTTCCATTTGGTACGACCCTGACACAACTCTTTCGCTTCTCTCACATCCATGTTTCTTGGCATACATGCTCATTGGTTTAAGGTTATACGTGGTAGAGCCATGCTGCAGTTATATTAGATGTATAGTTGTAGCACGAATGGGTCGGCTCGACCGGGGAAGGACCACGCTCTCACAGAATACCAGCATGAAATAGTAGCTTAATGCTGCTGTATTTCGTATGGTGAGTGTAGAGAACCGGCGACCCATTTTACTGGAAACGAGGCATTCCATCTTAGCCCTCACGGGTGACAACACATCTGCATTTTGATTCGTAATCGAGGATAGATGTAGATGTCTATGGGCCACAGCTGCCACTTACCATCAGGTGGACTGTGTGCTCGATTGTCACCCTATCCTATAAAAAAAAAAGGTACTTTTATTTTGCCCATTTTCAATATTCCGCCGATTTGGTTGATAAACTTCTGTCTAGGGCGTCCTTTTCCGACTCTGTTACTCCCTTCTTCAGAATAAATTATTATTTACTCCTTCATTCTTTCTACGTGTTTAAATCACCGAAGCTTTTCTTTCTTTGTCTTGTTCACAACATCTTGCAAAGCACACTTTTATCACAAAAATTCTCACCCTGTCTTTCAAACTTACCTCTAAAGGATTAAAAACAGTAAGTAGTGAATTTAAATAGTATGACTGCATTACTACAACATCAATTTTACTCTCATGCTTCTTCTACCACACACAACTTTCACTACCATACATTATGGAAGTACAAATACAGCATTGTACCCCCTGTTCGGGCGGCCATTAGATAACTCATCCACGTGCATTGTACACTGTCATACGCAAAGACCACCCAGTGGTCTGTGGTCATAGGAGTCTTCGTTACGCAAGCAACGATGCGTAATGATTAGATTCACTTAGTACTGCACGGTCTGTCAGGCCGCGGGCCCTGAGCTCTATGAAGCTGTAACAGCTTTAATATCATCAGAAACCAGATAACACAGCATTGTGCATTGTCATACGTGCCTTTTAAAGAACTCTTATGTTGTATTTTATCATACTGTTTACACAATCATTAGTCTGCAAACAATTTCCGGAATTTATTCGCCCCTTATATGGGAAAAATGTTAACATACATTATATTTAATTAACTGACTTAATTGTAACACAATAACTATTACAAAACAAGGCTTTAATGTTACTTCGCTGTTATTTTCTACGTTAATATCATTGAATTATACAACACATAAATCAATGGTTAATATAGTGACGCTAAAGTGCTTGTGCAAGTGATTCACAGCAGTATATGTATATATCGATCTAACTGTTTTAAAATTCGAACCACTGAGTCGAATGCCGCCAAAATTTAAAATGTTGTTCTTTCACATATTTTCTTTCATGGTTTGATGTGATTTTGTTGTGAGATAAAACATTCTTAATTTAAAACGATGGATTTAAAACGTAATTCAGTGATTACTCTGTATTTGGAAGGAAAATCGAACATCGAAATTCTACCAAATCTTAAACTAAATGAGAAATTTGTACATCGCACTATCAAACGATATTCTGAGACTGGTAGCATTAAGAAACGCTATGGTGGAGGATGGCGTTGTACTGCAACGGCACCAGCAGTCGTCGAAAAGGTTTGTCACCGATTGGACAGAAATCCAGCGCGCTCAGCAAATCAGCTCGCGCAGGATTTAAACGTGAGCGACCGTAGTGTTCGTCGTATATTGAAATAAAAGCTTAAGGTCAAACCATTGAAAAAAAAATTTCTCAGGAACTCACAGCTTTGCAACGTAGTAAACGGTTAGAGCGATCAAAAGAGCTGATTCGCTTGCTCGCCTCTGGTGAGCTTCCCAATTTGGTGTTTTCGGATGAAAAAACTTTCTGCGTTGAGCAGTTTCTTAACAAACAAAATGACCGTGTATGGTTGAAGGGACTCGACGTCACTCGACGTCAAGGAGCCGATCAAATCATGGTTTGGGCGGCGGTGTCCGAAAAAGGCCGTTCATCGCTCGTTTTTCTCCCAGTGGGTCGCAACCAAGTCAAAATAAATCAGCAAATCTATCGAGACAAAGTCTTAATACCTGGACTGATACCGTGGGCACGTAACACGTTCGGTTCTCGGAGCGTTGGACTTTCAAGCAAGACTCGGCACCATCGCACAGAGCAATTGGAACGCAAAATTGGTTGAAAGCGAACGTTCCAGTGCTGATCGACCGAGATATGTGGCCGTCGTCATCACCCGACTTGAATCCGCTAGATTTTTGTATTTGGGGTGTTTTACAGGCCAAGGCTTGTGCTACAAAACACACGTCGGTGGAAGCGCTCAAAGCTAGTCTTACGCGATAATGAAATTGTTTAAGTGATGACGTCGTTCGAGCAGCGTGCGCTTCGTTCAGGAAGAGACTCAAGCTTGTAGTAAAGGCTAAAAGGCGGTTTTATTCCATCGGACTAAGCCATAACATAACTTTGAACCATCTATTGTCACATGTAAAAAGGGTATAAATAAATATTGAAAATTAACAAAAATAATTTATTTTCCCATACGGACAGTTCAATCGCCGGACCCTATATAATGAAATTGTAAGTCATCAACATAAATAGTACAAAAATTTTTTGTGTTAATGGGTAATAATTTTTGCATGAACTGTTTTGGATATATTATGAAGCAAGAAATAAGGCTTTTTTTTTTTATTATATATATATATATATATATATATATAGAGAGAGAGAGAGAGGGGGATATTTCCTCTCTTACGTCGCGTCGGCTGTCTCTCTTTCTTCATCCGTCTTACGAATTTTCGATCAGGGTCACGTGTCCTGACACGAGTTTAAATTTTTTTACCCATTACCAAAAAGTGTACAACGCCGTTAAAGAAGTTTATACTTCAAAAACCTTGATATTTTAGATGTAGGTTCCGCAATGAAACCTATTTTAGTTACATTTTATAAATAAGTTACCGTTAATTGATTAAATGTAATAAACAGTCGAATCTACGACCCAATGATGATAACGAAAACGGTGAATTGTTAACTTCCTATCTGAAAGTTATCTTAATGTATACGATAATCGAAATCTTAAATTAAAACAGACTCGTATCTCTGCGTTTGGAGGTCCATGGAGTATATTATTTTTAAAACTTACGATTATATTGTTTTTAACAGCTATGTTCGGTGTGCATTTACTTTATAACTAGTATGACGTATAGCGGAATACATACAGGAAACAGGAGATGGGTAGCAGCATCTTCCCGATAACAAGTCAAAAGTATCCCCCCTTTTTAGGAAACCTACGGGGGAGGCCTATGTTCAGCACTAAACTTTTCTTCTGAACTTTTGTTCTTTTTATTGAAGTGGTCTGATATTGGTAATGATGTACGTTAGTACGTTTGTTCCTTCGTACGTTAGTGATATTACATTGAAGCAATTTTATTAGATGCTTTATTTTCATAATAAATATGTGATAAGGTTTCAAAAGCTTTCTTAACCGTGTAGCGGCAGTGTTAGAATATCCAGGCCAGGAAACGAACCAGGAGATGAGTAGCAGCGTCCACCTTGTTACAATTTATATATATATTTTTTTTTTTTTATTTAATAAATAAAAACTGCGTTTGCCAACCCGCCTATCTGCCAAGAGCGGTGGTAACTTTGGCAAATCCTTCCTGTTACGTAATGAATGGGAGAGCCCTATATTCTTAAGATTTTATTAAAATCGATTATCTATGTAGTTATTTGTTTTTAATTTGGTAGTTTTTTTTATACGAGCACACAGTCCACCTAATGGTAAGTGGTTGCTGTGGCTCATAGACATCTACTTCTATTCTCGATTACGAATTAAAATGCAGATGCGTTGTCACCCGTGAGGACTAAGATGGAATGCCTCGTTACCAGTAAAAAGGGCCCGGTTCTCTACACTCACCATACGAAACACAGCAGCATTAAGCTACTATTTCACGCTGGTATTCTGTGAGAGCGTGGTCCTTCCCCGGTCGAGCCAACCCATTCGTGCTACAACTATGCTTCTTATATAACTGCAGCATGGCTCTACCACGTACTGACTGACTGTTCTTTTCTATTAAAGGAATACCCTACAATCTAGTTTTTAGGGGACACAATACAATCTTGTTTCTAGGTTTTAAGGGTAAAACTTATTTTCATTTTAACTTTAATTTAATAAATTTGATATACTAAAATCATGTTCATAAAAACTTTTCTTATTGTTTTTATTAAGGTAAAGACACTCTGTTCTTGTCTTCATACAGTAGCAATATCATCACTCTGTATCCTGTATAATAATTAATGTAATAATATCCTCCAGACCGATTTTCAGTTATGGCGGCTAGTCCCAATAGTGACTAGCCATCGGTGCAGGACAGAATTATAGTCCCCAAGTGTATGCGCAAGCACAGGTGCACTCTCTATTCCCTTACTCTGTGTCACGCAATTCGAACCCGGGACCTCATGATCAGCGTTTTATCGTTTAAAGCCACTAGACCATTGAGGCATTCATATAATTCGTAAATACTACATTACACCAACTTAAAATATATTTACCTTTTAATTCATCGTACTGTATATGTGTTGTCGAGAATCTGGAAAGCTTTCTCATTCACATGAAAAATTTACAGAGAGCAGATGCATTGCATCTAAATACATATATAAGTAAAGATTCTTGATGTTATAAAATATAAATCAGTGATTTAAAAATGTTTATAGACTTATATCAATTAATTTGCTTAGGTCGATGATTTAATTATATTCTTACAAGGCACTTGGTAGTTTTTTTTAAATTCCAATCTCCAAGTATGGCAAGCGTTAATTATATGTAACGAGCTGTGTTATATTACTTTCAGAATTTATTTTATACATAATTTAAAATATTATGAGAAAATGGACAAAGACCGAGTTGATCTTAGAATTAACATTGTGAATCTGAACTTACCGTATAATGTCTTTACCGTATAATAACATCTTAAGAATATCCACTACCCCATATCATCCCGTGGGTGTCGTGAGCAGGAACAAATCTGGAGATGGGCAGCAGCGTTTTCCTGATAACAACTAAAGATAAAAACTGCGGTTGCCAACCCACTAGCCAAGCGTGCCAACTATAGCAAATATTCTCCCTACGATGCAATCTCTAATAGAAATCTATGTCCAGCTGTGGACTTTTATAAGTTAACAACTTAGAAAGCCGGTAATCTGTACTTGTGATGGTTTTAAATATTTTATAAAAATTTCCATTCACCGTGGTTAGATATTGTTTAGACTCCGTCTTATTACAAAAAGTGGTTTATAATCAGTCTAAGGTTTAAAGTCTGTTTAATAAAGAAGCTCTGCGGCAAATATGCGAACTAAATTGTAAAGTATGGAATTTGACAGCAAATGTCATATTTGAAATTAGGCATTCGATCTTTCCCTCTGCGTTATGAACTTAGAAATGAGGAACCAGAGACACCGACATAGTCAAGTTGAAGGGGAAATGGGTCGGCCTATATAGCTCGAAGAACCGACAATCGATGGGGAAGAAAGGTTCTCGAGTGGCAGCCTCGTACCGGTAGGCGAAGTGTAGGGTAAACCTCCACTAGATGGAGTGACGACCTGGTAAGACATGCATAAAGTCGATGGATGCAGGTAGCTTAGGACCGTGCTTTGTTGTATTACTTAGAGAAGGCCTATGTTCAGCACTGGACTTGTGAAGGGCTGTAATGAATTCCATCTTAGTGGTAAAGGCTAAAAGTTGACAACGCTTCTGCATTTAAATTTTTAATCGAGGATAGATAGATGTCTATTGGCCACAATCAATTTAAAATACCTTGGACTGCGTGATTGTTTGTCACACTTATTTTATAAAAAAAAAACTGCGGCTAACTGGCTACTTTAGTAAAAAAGGCTCTTCTTAAACCGTAGTTTAAGCCCATGATTCAATGAACCATATATACAGTTTCTTAGTACACTGATTGAAGCTTGCAATACCCATGACTAATACTTTACAATTACTGCAATTGGCGCAATGGCTTTTGTGTGGATGTTAAAGCGTGATAATGCTATTTGGACCTTTGTTCCGTACAGAAATAAATTAAAAATAGACTTATATTCAATGAAAACTGTTTTTTTTATGAACTCGGATTTGGGACACCCTTATGTCACTTGGATTCTAATTTCAACTAAATATTACGTAGTAGAACCGTGGTAGCTCAGATGGTTAGCGCTCGCTTTAAATTTCACAGTACGCGAGCAAACCGGATTCAATCCTCACCGGCACCAATGAAATTGTTAATTGCAATTTTAAGTGCTGATTTACCACGTGCTCGGCGGTGAAGATAACATCGTGAGGAAACCTGCATGTCAGAGAAATAAGAAAAAAAAATATTTCGAAGACATGTGAACAACGCAACTGCATTTTGATTCTTAATCGAGGATAGATGTTAATATTTATATGGGCCACAGCAACCCTTTACCATCAGCTGGACTGTGTGCTCATTTGGCAACCTTATTCTATTAAAAAGTACGAGACTACAGCTATCAGGTCTTATTAATATGAATGTAATATTTTCGTAACTGCTTGACAGAATAACTAGCGGTACTGTGATAGGTATCTACCGTAACCGTAACGGACTCTTGCATAAACCCAATTTTGAATTTATTTATTTATTTAATATTATTTATAACGCTTTCTTTCCCATCTACTACGTGGAGTGCTCTGAGAAATTGTCCAGGTTAATCCCAGCTGCAAATATTACATGAACACACATCGCGGCAAAACTCCCCGATACTATACACTTCACTAGGAGTTTTATTCCGCGTACGACCTCTCTGTGGAAATAGTTTACCACCGGCGATTTTTCCAGACCGATACGGCTTAGGGACCTTTAAGAAAAAAGCTCTTACTCCTTTCTAAAACGCAGGTAACGCACCTGCAATTCCTCTTGTGTTACAGCTATTCATGGGCGGCGGTAGTCACTTAACACCAGGTGAGCCGTATGTTCGTTTGGCCCCTCTCCTATAAAAATATAATACATATGTTTAAAGTTTAAAGAAGTTCCTAAGCTTAGTTTAAAAACTGCGGTTGCCAATCCGCCTGTCAAGTGGAAAGCGTGGCAACTATGGCAAATATACCCCCTAATCTATGGGGGGTCGATGTTTGGAAGTGCACTTTGTAGGCCGTAACGGTAACGTCGTAAGTTTCAA